AAAAAAAAAAAAAACCGAGCCGGCTCGGCCCGCTAAGGCTCGAGCCTAAAGCTCGGGCCAAGCCTCATTTTTTTTGGCCAGGCTCGGCTCGGCTCGGGCCAAAAAAGCTCGGGCTCGGCCCGAGCTTTTTTTTCCCGGCTCGGGCTCGGCTCGTTGCCACCCCTACACAGATATGACACAATAACATGTCATCAAACAAATAATAACAGGTCACACAGAGACACAAGAACACTTATAACCACATTTCATGTACTTGTTCTTCGGCTTGTATCCTCTGTCAAACCAATTCTGGAATGCACTCAGGTCTGCACTATCAACTCCCTTCGAATAATTTTAACAGAAGGTGATTGCATATTTTTTGATGGATGGCTTTTGTGCTCTCTTCACATGTAGTCCAGAGGATGGAGGTGCAGGCGTATCTTCCTGATTCAAAAATATAAAAAGAAAAGTTATTGAATTAGTGTATGCTAATCTAATAATTAGTTTGAATTTATAATATGAAATACTATGTTAAACTGACATCTTAGGTCTGACATTGAGTAGACTCCAACACCCGTGCAATAGCCTCATCAACATGCTCATGCACTTCTTTACTAGCAAACATCATCAGAGTTTTTAGGACTCTGTGAGTGGTCAACACCAAGATTAAATGAAGGAAAGTCGAGAACGTAGTCATCATGAAAGCAATGTGAAGACTCAGGTGCCATGTGACCTTTGTCCTTTTCTTCAACCACATTATTACCTTTTGGCTCAGGTTTCATGTGACCCTTGCCCTTTCTGTCAACCACGTCATCAACTTTTGGCTCTTGTTATCTCGAACCATCTTTACCACTCAACTTCGTCTGAACTTCATCTATCACCGAAGATAAAATGTCAGACACAAATTCAACAAAATATCTAAGAGACAACTTGATATTGTTCAAGTCATCTTTCAACCCATTTTGACTTCGAATGACCTCATCGAGCTTCAAAAAAATGTTTGAATGACACATTTTGTCATTCATATCAGACAGTTTTGACTTCATTGACAAAAGATCCTCTTTCAGCCCTTTGTTATCCACTTGAAGCTTGGTTATTTCATCATCCATCAACTGCTTCAATCGACCACATTCCTAAAAAAAATTGTAATTAGTAGAATTGTAATCGTATAATGGCTTCTATGTCTTATAAAAATTTAATTACTTACACTGACACTTGAACAATCAGGATAATAAGTAGGATGAGGCTGAGCAGGAGAGCTAGAGCTAGTAGCCCCCGTCTATTTTTTAGGCTGTGGATCAACAAAATCATCATCTGAATCTCGAACATGTACCTTTGACACCGAGGGAGTAGACTCACTTTTGCCTACTGGAGTTTTAGAGATTGTAATGTTCTGATTCGGTTGTCTAGGCTTCGAGTACTGCACATCTGTCAATTGTATCAAATATACAAAACAAAGAAATTAGTTAGCACAATGATACAAATCAGGTCACAATATATATGAGGGAAAGTCACAAGTAACATATTTTAGGTCACATGTCATAATATATCTGAAATTTATATTTAGAACTTGTCGTATATGGCATCGTGAGCTCGACTTCAGATGGATCGATGTCGTTTATCATAACATGTTTGACATAACATGGAAAAAAGCTGAGCATATGTTCTTTTAAATATGTATAACTAATCAAATGATTACATAACAATTCGAACATACTTACGAACTTACATTCTCACTTCCAAACACTCTATCCTCCAACATTGCCACAGAAGGATGTTTGTGTGCACTCTAATTCATAATTCGTGGATGTTTCTTACAAATTCTTGTGGCCACATTCCCTTCAAGTGTAGGTATGCACACATACAACCACACCTGGAAAGCCACTAAAAAACCCGTCAATTTGTAGTGACTTGTTTGTTTTGATAATCCCTTCCTTAATGAAGGCAATGTGGTGACAAGTGCAAAAATGTATTGATCCACAACCTCCAAGTAAGATGTAGCAAATAGATACGATGTGATAAGATAAACAATCCCAATCTTAATCACGTCAAGGTCTGGTGCATCATCTAGTGAAAGAAATACTCTTTTGACATCTTCATTTGTTACGACTTTTAAATCCCTGAAATAAGTATCCTTCACTGCAGACGGTTTATCATCCAACATTAGTCGATCATCTACCCCATCATACCGCAATCTAGTGACCAAACGGAATTTAGCAAGAGAGAACCAACTATATCTCCCATTTAAGTTGAACCACATCTCCCGTAGTAAATAGTGAATCAACTGTGGCTGCACTACTATCTCCCTACAATGCATGTAGTAAGAAAAATAGGTGTTCTCCAGAATGGTCCTCTGAACAGCTTTGAATTTCATCACAAAGTGTCTGATGACACTTTGTATGGGTGTCATGGTTATCTTCCCAGGGAACCAATCCCTTGGATTTATTAAATAGCTCCATTCCTACTTAGAATAGGTCACAAAATACCCAAATCAGGTCACAAATTCGTAAAAAAATATACCATAAACCTCACAAATCAGTTCACAAAATCAGATTAAAGATATTTAGTTCACTTTAGAAAACATANCAGCGACGTTGCCGCGAACTGAGCAGCGTCATCACGACGTTGCCGGTAGGGAAAGGCGAGGGGGAGAGGGGGAGGGAGAGAGAGAGAGGGAGAGAGAGAGGGAGGGAGAGACGTGGGTTTGAGTGATTGTACGTGGACGGTGCAAATTAATTGAGTCAGTGATTTTAGTTGATATAATAAATTTATTTTTATTAATTTAAAAAAATGTAATTACCACCTGATTTCTGGAAATTAAATTTCATCCCCTTATTTTTGAATTGTAATCTTGAAAAGAAGGGTTTTAAGTAATTTTCTCTTCTGCGATTTCCACGCTGATCCCGTACCCGGGTTCGCGTCACATAAGCTGATGCTATTCATTGAATTCAATAGTAATAAGAATCAAGTTTTTAAACTTTTCGACAAAACTGCTAATAATGTAGTACTTTTATGTCGAGTTGCCGATTCTTGAGATATGGGGGCCGGCAGAAAACTGAATAATCTACTAATCCAAAATAAGTTGCATTAAAAACCCCGCCTTTGTTAGAGAATGATGCTTGTTTTATATGTTTCCTCAATTCATCCGTCAGATTTGTTTGTTTCCCTGTAAATCTTAGTCCCTCTTCCATTTCCATCCAAATTATTATCCTACATTAATATTTGATTGAATATTAGTAGTGATCCCACAAGGCTTGCAAAATTCACCCAAAACATAGAGTTTAGCTTCACAAACTTGACTATGAATCGCTGGACTTCGATTTTGCTGATTTTTTTCTTGATTTCCCTTGTTCCATGTCAATCCAATGCATCTTTTCTTGTGTTGTTTAGAAAATTAATACAGGTTAATCACAAATCACAGTCACAACCCATAAAATCCGATCAGGTATGCACATTTCTTTTTGTTTGTGTGTCTTGATTTGTCAATGACTATGAGTCGCCTGGTTAAGTTTTAGACAATATGATTTCATTAACTGGTAATGGAAAGTAAAGAACGTTTATATCGTGTACATAGATGTCTCCATCGCCAAGCCCAGTTCCATCGGCTAATTCAAATACTAGGGATGCTCAAAATCCAGTGAATCAGCCAAAGTCAGAGATATGTGACATGGTGTCTAATAAGTGCGACATTGCAGGATACAAAATCACAGCATGTGTTCCTTCTCTTGGAAAAGGTATGTATATTTGATCCTATTTCATTTCACTCCCCAAATTTGATCCTAAGTCCTAACCCACTAAGATTCAGCATGAATTCTTAGATGGATCCTCGACCTATGCCAGTGTTGTAGTAGGACAAATTGGCAAAGGTCTAACACTACCAGTTGGTACTAGTTCCCGCGATGTCCTGCACTGCTAATCAAGTGTAGTTCTGGCGAGGTTAAGCTTTTGGAAGACTATTTTAGAGGATGATCCTACGACTTAAATTTGATAGAAGACATCAAATGAACTAACGAATAAGCTGATATCTCGTAAAATCTGATATTGGATCTTCTCAATATATTTTTTATGGGTGGTCATGAACTTGAATGCTTTGTAAGCCTACTTTGAGAGATGGCCAATGCCTGCGTCATTTGTTCATTACAATGAGGCCACTCTGCTAGGCCGACTATGACACTGAGAGACGAAAGTTAGGGTAAGACGTGATCTGAATCACAGTTCAGACTTAAGTTGGTACAGTGACGGCAACCGCAAAAGTCACAAGCCAAAACCTACTCCTAACAAGTTGTCAGCTTTTCATCGCTTTTCTCTTTCAACGGCAAAACAGTTCACAAGTATCTATCTTCATTGCAGGGTCTGGAGGATCATACATGCTTATCCTGAATGATTTTGAGAGCTCTCTTAGGCTAAATATTGCTGTTCGTCCCATGAACGAAATCCTGGAAAATATAGAAATTCCCGATCACCAAGTCAAGAAGGTATTGATTTTTATCGTTTGTTTTCATGTTTTTCATGAAATACTTTGATTGAAGTACTACGGTATTGATTAAAGGAAAGCACGAAGATGAATGATTTCTCGTTTCCTCTCCTACCAAAATCAAACATATGTATATCCTGACTCATTTTCTGATCCTTTTTTATTCCTTCTGCTGTCTCAGGTAAATTTGCCATCAAATACAGAAGGAATCTCTTCCATTTTGCTAAGTACTGGAAACGGGAATTGTGTGATTCATGTAGGAGATGCAGGATCAGAAGGTTTTTATACCACATATTTCACGCCAGTCAGCGGAACATACCTATTGTTTGCTACAGGTTTGCTTATAGCAGGGATATGGGCATGCTGCAAGTTGGGGAAAAGGGGACGACATCTCGATGGAGTCCCATATCGGGAACTTGAAATGGGGCAAAAAGACTCCAAATCTTCCTCGAGTGTTGGAACAGCTGAACATTGGGATCAAAGTTGGGATGAGGATCGGGATGAAGAGAAGGCAATGAAATCACCACGAGGAAGTCATGTGGGAAAAAGATTGCGGAATGGTTCCACTTTGAGGTACATAGATACCTATTAACGGGAACATGTTTGGGATGATTACGTAAAGGAAGATATACGTCCTCCACCATCCTCTCGAGGATGACAAAAAACAATAGTAGCATGTTCAGTAGGAAGGATTCGATAATTAGTACTAGACTATACTAAGAAATTAGGATGCTTGCCTTTAATACACACAATTATGCTGTGCCTGCTGATGAAAAAGTTGTGCACTAACAATTTTACTGTATGTAACACGAGATCATTTCGGAATTTTTATATGTAGAGGATGCCTTTCCCTTCACTGCTAAAATTCTCATTGTTTCAGTAAGAGATGCATTGTAGAAGAGTAGGACTTTTTCTACTGTCTAAAAGACTAAAACACTCTGCCGGGAAATTGCTTCAGCATACACAGTACATTAGAGGTTTATTTCTATTTTATAAATGCATGGTTATGTTACCAACTCTTTCTATGTTTCTGCCTTAGGATTAACGACAATAGCCTGCAATGCCCGAAAACCACTGATCGCCTTAGCGAGTAATATTGAAATATTTTTATTCGAAATGGAGTCCAGCGCATAGCCCATTGGACTCCGAAAACTAGCAAGAAGTTACCCACTCTTCTTTGATCAATCAAATTTGTCCCGTTTCCTTTGTGCAGATCAGAGCTTTCTGCCCCATTGCTGATCCGCCCTTTTTGTACTGTATTTGATTTACAGTGTCTAGCTAGGCACAATACTCGATTAATGATAGATTAAGAGGACAACAACTTAGATGGTCTAAAGTCATTTCAAGTAGGCTTAAAGAATCCCACGTGATAAAAGACAACACAATCTCATTAAAACGAGTTAGACAAAAAATGTTGCTAAGAATTTGATTTTATCGGAAGTAATATTGTGGGATAGGGAGCTCACTCGATTAGTTATGCCAAAACATAAACTAGAGTATAGTATCAAGGACGAGAAAGTTTATTTGTTGTGCAGTTTAGTTCTATTCAATACTGACATCAACTTATAATACATGTCTAGATCATAATTAAAATGGTAATATTATTTAGTACCACTAGTGTTACAATATTAATCTAAATGATATTACGTGTCATTAAATGATATGTACAATTACATAAATTACATAATTTCACATTTAATTAAAAGGAATCACTAATTGTACCGGGGGTTAACAACCCTCCTGACTGGCCCCTCACAAGGTGCCCCCACCTTGTGAGGGGCCAATCAGGGGGATTGTCAACCCCTCGATAACTCTAGCATTCTTCTTAATTAAATATGTCACATAACATTATATGGACGGGTGCTAAATAGTATTATTCTATTTAAAGTGATCAATTGTGTGTTTGATAATGTCTTGAAGATAATCTTAAGTAGTACCTTGTGCATGCTGATGATGAAAATGCCAAATGTTTCGTTTTCTTGGGCCCAACACTTTGTTGGCCTTAATTGGATAAGGATTGGGGACAGCTCAAATTTGGGTATCTGCAATGGCTTGTCAAACCCTACACACCTAGCAAAAGTGCAATTTATAGTGTAAACAGTAAACTCTTCTTTTAAAAGAAATTTGTTTAATAAATCTACTTTCCAGTCATCCTTTATTAAAATATGTTGGATTAATCAATGCTTACTAAATGTATTACTACATGTCGGCACCCTATAGTAGGGTCGGATGTGGGACCATGTAGTAAGGTAGGAAGTACATGTCGGCTCCACATCCGACCCTACAATAGGGTGCCGCCATGTGGCCATGTAGTAAGGTAGGAAGTACATGTAGCATCTTCCAAATATGTTTCTTAGCAAGAGGAGGAGATGAAACTGGACTCAAGACAATAAACAAATTTTATTTACATGCTCCAATTTAATTATGTTGATTAAAGTGGCACGATTTTAAAAGATAACATGGGGAACAGACTAAAATTAACACAATGTATCGTAGTTACTAAGAATCTAGTTATTTGAATTTTCTGGCAGGTGAACGGATTGAAGTGGCAAAAAGGTTTTTCTTATGGCCCGATTCTAAATTTATCGAGAACAAGACTAACTTTTTTATATCAAAAATGCTACTTGTACATCAAGAATTATACATCAAGGTGTACATCACATTCACATAGGGGTGGGACCCACTTGTATGAAATATTTTTTTATTCAAGCGGATCCCACCCCCCATGTGAGTGTGATGTACAAGCCGATGTACACCTTGATGTACCGGGAGCAAAGCCGTTTTTATATAACGTTCTAAATCCGTGTGTAGTCGCATTCTTTCCAGTATATCAAATTTTATTCCAAGACAATACTGGTTCAGACAACCAAATGATGACAAACAACACTGTAAAATGATTTTATGATGCTTGCTAAATAATCTTGTATAAATATGGTTAGAATATTCACAAGAAAACGAGTCAAAGAGAAAATAACAAATTTATGAGCTCAAAATAGAAAGAGACAAGGGAGTTGGAGGCTCCATTGTTGTCTGACATTGCAGAAAGATTTGTATACAAATAGACAAGTCTCAATCAAAGAAAAGGACATGAGGTAGAAGGAGAAACCATGTGAATTTCAGCTGCAGCTTGAAAACTAAACAATGTTATCTTATTAAACCAATCAAAAACCTCAAAAATGGCTAAGTAAAAAGGAACAAAAATATCTTTTAAAAAAATAGATTATTAAGACCTAATGACATGGGTGTCCAGAAAGCAATAGGTTCTGCATTATTCTATTTCAATTCCTCTGAAACATTTTCTTTCTTTATCTTTATTCCTTTCATTCTGCTTTTACTTTCTGTTTTTATATTCATCACCTAGATTATTTGCTTGGGAGTAGGAACTAAGAATATTGAAAACCCTAAGCATGTTTGGCAAAGCATTTATTAGATTATAAGACGTGAGTCCTACAAACTCTATAGATAAAAATAGAATTTGACCCGCTTATAAGCAATTATAAGCTTTACCGAACATGCACTTTTGAATATCAAATTTTCTCTTTATTGACCAAAATATGTTGTAATATGTCACCCTGAAGACATGTTTCATGCATTGAATTCTCAACAAGACACCTTGCCGTGCGTCTTTCTTCTTGAATTCTATATAATCTTATCCAATCCAACATACTAAACAATGTCCACTGTTTATAGGCTAGAGGTGTCAAAATGTGCAGGCTCCCCATTGACTTCAGGTGTAACCAGGGCCAGAACAATGAGGTTGATACCTCTGTAGACTATTCTAAGTTTTAATTTTGCCCTTGCCATATGAAAAGGTTTGACATTTGCTGGGGACAGAAGATCATAGGATTCGGAAGGCAAGCAACATTTGTGAACACAAGTTTCTAATTTAGATTCATAAATTACAAGTTAAAAAGCCAGCATCAATAGGTTAGAAACAAAGTAACAAGAGGAAGTGAAAGACAAGTAACTATTTGATATGCAGTGGAGTCCCAAATTGGAACCCGGTGAAAAGGAATCCCGTTGCCAAACATTTAACCGAAAGATAAAAAAAACTTGAGAAAAACAACACATGAGCAAAAAAATTAGAGCTAAATCTGAATTTCTACTTTTTAAACAAACCAACGGGATTCTTCTTCGCCTGATAAGCCATTATAATGCACCTACTTACCTTGAACGTTTAGCCGAACTCATCCTGATTCAACCTGACCTCCTGAAGGGCATCTAATCAGCTCCAAAATGCTAACCACTTCTGCCATGTTGGGCCTGTTCGAAGGAACTTGTGATGTGCAGATTAAGCCTAACTTTATCATTGGAATTCCCTCCTCAACTGGAAACTTCCCCTGTAGCCTACTATCAATGCATTCCTCCACTCTGCCTTCTTCCCATGATCCTCTAACCGTGTCACAGAGAACTACTACATCGTCCTCCATGTACTCAACAGGCCTCTTCCCTGTGACTACCTCCAGCACCAGAACCCCGAATCCATACACATCACATTTTTCAGTTATCTTAACAGTTTTGCATGCAAATTCCGGTGCCATGTAACCAAGGGCACTCTGAATCTTGCTGCTCAAAATATATCGATCTAACATTGGTAACAGCCTGGCTAAACTATAATCTGCAAGCTTAGGTTCGCCAGAATTGTCAATCAAGATATTGCTTGATTTTATGTTGTAATGGATCAAGTTCATTTGATGCAAATGAGTCAAGCCTTTAGCTGCACCAAGAATAATATTGAACCTCTCATTCCATGAAAGGTAATTTCCAACAGATTCTTCATGAAGGTGCTTATACAAATTTCCACCAGAGACAAATTCATATATAAGAAGCTGCAGTGAAGGGGTCCAGTAATAACCTTCAAGTGTTACAAGATTACCATGATGGACTTTCCCCAATTTTTGAACTTCCCTTTCAAAATCCTCTTGGGATTTTACAAGACTTGAAACAGTGAGCTTCTTGATGGCAACTGAGCGTCCGTCTCTAAGCTTTGTCCGGTAGACAGGTCCGAATCCCCCATGCCCAAGTTCACAATCCTTGTTAAGCAGAGCATGTGCCCCTGTGCTAAAGTCAGAATCACCTGAAAACATGACAAGCTTCCCTGAACTACCATCACTCGTAGGTGAATGGCTGTCATCACCACCATAGAAAGTGAGAGCTGCTGCAGATCGAGATGTGGAAGCTTGTACACGAAGATTAAGAACGGTGATCGCGATTATGCCGATAACAATTGCCACAGCTGCACCTATAGCAATGAGGGCTGAGATGCTGAGGATTTTCTTCTCATGACCAAAACTTTGAGGGATTATACCGGTGTCGGCATCAGACGAGTTAGGATTAAGTACAATTGGTTTAGGAAGGACAGTAGGGCAACTTCTATTCACTGATGCTCCACAAAGAGACGGATTGCCAGATACAGATGAAGGAGCAATAGTGTTGAAAAAACCACCAGCAGGCAGTTCGCCTTGGAGCTGGTTGTGTGAAATGTTAAATAATTGCAGGCGTCCAAGATTGGCCAGCTGCTTGGGTAGAGTTCCCATGAGCTTGTTGAAAGACAAGTCTACAGTCTCAAGGTAAGTAAGTTTTGCGAGTGATGCAGGAACAGGGCCAGTTATTTCGTTATGAGCCAGATACCTGCAAATTTGGCAACAATCCAAAAGGAACTCAGTTGGAACGGCAGAAGGCTTGAAAACTTAAGAAATACTGGATTAGGTTACAATTTATCGATCAAGCCCATATCCATGAAAATTTTGCTGCTGTAGTTTTATTTGTATAAACAGCAGACACAGATAAGATAATACCCAAATTTCTTGACATCGAATAAATTGCCTTGAAAGAGCATACTTCAAATGGATTTCAGCAGAAAATTGAACAGTTGAAATGCATTTAACCATTTCACAAGCTACACAGTTAAGTTGCATAAAGATTACTCAACAAAATTAGAAAAGCACAAAGAAATGTTACAATAACGCATAAAACCAGCACAGAACTTACAAGGACATAAGTGAAGAGCAGTTCCCAATCGAAGTAGGAATGTTGCCTTTGAACGAGTTCTTCTCTAGCCTCAATTCCTTAAGAGATGTAGCTCCACCAATTTCCAATGGGATGCTACCAATTAACTGGTTATCGCTCAAATCCAGAGTATCCAAGATTTTCAATTGTCCAATACTTGCAGGAATGCTGCCTACAAATGAGTTTTTCGACATATTCAAGAAATGCAAGCTGCTGAAATCTCCGGTAGAACCGGGAATTTCACCAGATAACTGATTCTTGGAGATATCCAAAACTACAAGCTTGTGACAAGAACTCTCCAAGGAGGAAGCAAGAGCATTATCCACATTCCCACTTAATCTATTATCTGAAAACAGAAGTTGCTGTAAACCGAGCTTGAATGGCCAGGAAGGAAGTTCACCAGTCAAATAATTGTGGCTAATATCAAGAGTCAGAAGGTTTACACAATTCTTCATAGACTCGGGCAAGATTCCGGTGAGAGAATTCTTGGATACATTTAAAAATTTCAATGACAGGAGCTTCCCAAGAGAATCTGGAACTTGGCCAGTTAAGTTATTTTCAGAAAGATCCAGGGTTTCAAGGCTTCTCATTTTCCCAATCCATTCAGGAACCTCCCCTGTGAATCCATTTTTTCCAAACACTAGATCATTACACAGGGTAAGCTGCTGCATTGTGTTTGGAAGCCCTCCAGAAAATGAATTTTCACTCAAATCAATTGACCTCAGCAAAAAACAATCTCCAATTCCTTCTGGAACTTCACCAGTTAATCGGTTCTTCCTCAAACTTATCCCCCTCAAATTGTTCAAACCTTCAATGCCATTTGGAATCTCTCCCTCCAACAAATTATAGGATAAATCAAGCATCCTCAGTCCGTGCAATGACCATAACCCTGATGGCAAGGATCCTGAAAACTGATTGCCTGAAAAGTTCAGTGAAGCAAGCGTCGAACACATGCCCAAGCTCTCAGGAATATGACCTGAAAATTTGTTATTCGCCAAGGAAACCGATCTCAAAGACCCACATTGCCTAAAGAAATCATTCGAAATTGACCCGGATAGGCTATTCTCACTCAGGTCCAGCACCCTCAGATTAGAAAGCTGAGCAAAAGCAATGCTTATGCTTCCCGTAAGGTTGTTTTTCGCTAGCGAAAGCTTTCGCAGAAGCTGCAATTTAAGGAGGCCTTTACCTAGTTTTCCAGAGAGTCCAAAGCCATCAAGAACAAGGTCAGACACTCTATTGGATCTGGGGTTGCATTTCACACCAACCCAATCACAAGGGCTAGCATCATCTTCATTCCAAGAACTTAATTTCCCATCGGGATCTTGAATATCAGCCTTGAACACAATCAACCCCAGAACATCATCATTTAGAGAAGGGCTTAGAGATTTCACCAAAATGGGAAACAAACAAAAGACTAACAATACACGAAACAGAATTATCATTTCAATAAATTAGTATAGTGCCAACGAAAGTTATGGCATTGTTGGGTTCTGATAGAAACTCCAGAAAGACAGTTCTTCTTTTCTATTCTTTTTTTTTTTTTAATCTAAAAGGATACTTCTCAGGAATCGAAAGAAGAGACAAGTAAACTGGAAGTGACTTTGAATAGGAGCTGAAAAGATAGGTTCTTGAACTCTTTTTAAGCTCTCAAGAACAAATTCTACTGTGTTAAACCTTCAAAACTCATTAAAAGATACACATGTACATACAAATATGTGCAAGTACGCAAGTAACTTTTGAGTTTTGACTATTTAACAGCTAGAAATTGCTACCAAAGAAAAATATGAAAAAGAACCCAGAAAATTAACAGATAAAGCCGCTAAAGAACCAAATTAAACAACCGCATTGGCAAAAGAGAGCTTCTGAAAACCCAAAAATCAATCAACACGTAAAATACCTTTAGCAGATGATAAAAAAATTAGGAAAAGAAGAAAACCAAAATTAGGAATGACTTGTGAGAAGAAATGTAGTTCGGCGTTGAAGTGAGTATAATGAGAAGGAAAGTGAGGAAAGTTTCGATCCGAGAGTGAAAAAGTGAAAGGACTCGACGGAATATCTTTTTTTCTGGAAATGGAATCCAGGGAGTGGAGTAACTGGGTGGAGCTTAAAGAGGGGAAGTTACCAGAAATATCGCCGGGGAAAGTGGGGGAATGGGAGTTTCCGGCGACGGACAGTCACTGAAACATTTAAAGCGCTCTCTCTTACACACACACACACACAGCTGTGAGAGAGAGACATCTTTTAAAGCAGGGATGTGAACGGTTTTATTGGGGATCGACACGTGGTGATCATTTATTGGTATGAATAATCCGACGTGTCCATCCTGTTGTTACGGGTGTCCGTATGGCCCACTCCTTGTATCCAAATTATCCGGTGCCATTAATTCACTTTGTAGGGCATGTTTGGGTGGGCTTATAAGCAGAAAAACTAACGAAAAAACATCTTACGATTTTGCAAGAGGAGTTTACGGCTTCTTGGGACCAATAATGTTATTTGTACATCATAATTTACAGATTGATTTACTAAATGATGAATAGTATTACTCTCTTGAAACACCTCATTAATGTTGGAAATATCTACTTGTACATCAAGACATGTACATAAGGGATTACACCCCTCTCACATGGGAGGTGGGATCCACCTGAATAATATTTTTTTATTCGAGTGGATCCCACCTCCCATGTGAAGGGGGTGTAACCCTCTATGTATATCTTGATATACACTTAGCATCACTCATTAATGTTTTATCTAGGAAGTTATTGCATGTTGGTCAACTAACAATGAATGAATGAAACGAAATTGAAGTAGCACATATATCTATCAAAAATGAAATAAAAAAGTTATATATACTCGAAATCAAGATATTATTTTATTCTCGTAAATATTTAGCCCTTGTTTGAGCTCCATTTTAATGAAATTTTAGGGGGAAAACGTATTTTAAAATAGTGAATTTTTGCAGAACGTGTGTTTAAAAAATTTAAATTTACGTGTAATATTATTTTATTGAAAAATGTGTAATTAAAAAGAAAGAAAAATATTATCTTGGCAAAAGCAATCGAGACTTTAGAATGGCAGTTTAGGGGAAATGAGCAGAAAAAAGTGGATTTCAATGGCAGACAAGAAAAGGAAAAGGAAGTGTGCAGTACAGAAAAGAGAAAAGAAATGAAATAAATGAAGATAGGTGGGGTTCTGTAATTAATAGTGTTTGAGCAGAGTTGAAGAGGGACCTTACTTTTACCCTTCAAAAAAATTTCTTCTACTTTATTTTAGCCCCACTTTGATGCCCATTAAAGAGATTTTTTTTTTTTTGAGAAATGATTTCTTTAAAGAATATGTTGTTAAAAGTAGTAAGAAATTTTGAATTTACGTGTGAAATATTTTATTGTGAGAATATGTGGTTGAAAATGTTATTTTTTTTAAAAAAAATTGAAGAATGATATGCAATTAGGGGCATAAATTACACTAAACTTGGAGAGCTACCCTTCTCCCCACCAATCAACTTGTTTTTCAAACAATTGTGGTACGAGAAATGTGGAATTTCGTGTGAACTAATAATTATCATTTTGCAACATAAAATACTCTTAGGTGACTAATAACAAACTAGTGTCGTGAAAAATGGTGAAAAAAGAATCCTTGTCGAGATGAGATAGAAGATGAAATAGTACGTTCCCAAGCAGTGAGAGGAGCAAGGCTCAAATCGTGTGCTTGTGAAAGGAGTCAACGACTCATAAGCAGTTGACTCGACTGTCAATTGAATCGTCACACATACAAAATAACAAATTTAAAACAAATATTTTAACATTGCAAGCAAGGCTCAAATCGTGTGCTTGTGAAAGGAGTCGACGGCTCATAAGCAGTTGACTCGACGGTCAATTGAATCGTCACACATACAAAATAACAAATTTAAAACAAATATTTTAACATTGCAAGCAGCTAAAAACAAATTTTAAGTTCGAGGACAAGGACAATCAATGTTTTTAATAGTCTCATAAATCTCGTGATTATTCAATATTTCACCAAATGACATAATTGTACTTTACTGCATTAGTATACGCCATGATATTATTAAGACATTGTTTGATTCTCATTTTTTTAAAAATATTTTTTTTTCTCTTTTCTGTAATCATACATTTTTCAATAAAATAATATTAAAAGCAAATTCAAATATCAGTCTTATTATTTAATCAGATATTTTCCTTCAATCTACTATTTCAAAAGACATTCTACATTAAAAATTGGCTCAAACGGGCTCTAAAAATTGCCTCTACATCATGAACATCGAGCATGGTCCTAAAAATTTGTTGAAAATCATTGAAAATGTGAGTTAATTGTTTGAACACACATCGAACTTTGAGTAATGCCACGTTTTACTCGATGTACCTCAACTTGCACCATATTATTCACTAAACTTTATAAAATTGTATTTCATTACTCATTGGGAAACATCTGTTACTAACCATTGCCTACGTGGAGAACGTAATTCACAACTAGCCGTTAAATCCGGTTCCCAAAGGTGACGAGGATGGCTAAGAAAGAGAGGCTAGCGGCTAAAGGAAGGAGAAGCAATTGATGAGCAGCGGAAGAAACTTAAGAAAGATGCTACCAAAAGAAGGGTGTTTCTGCAGGTTCAAAGGATTCCATCAAAACATTTAACAAGAATAAAGTTGATATTGCACATTTTAGTTGCTCCAGAAACCAATGCTAGTTATCATCATTTTCAATATCGACTATTGCAAATGCAACAGGAAATGAATACTCATCTGCGTCAATTGCAGTAGGTGTTAACAAACTTTCTTGGTGCTTCGATCTCAGAAAAGCAGCATCCAAAGAGAAAATTATTCAGAATTTGGTGGTAGGGTTTACGAAGGATTGGGCTTTCAATTTTGGGGGAGAAAGGTTTGATTCTCGCTTTCATTCTTGGTTTGGCTTAGGCGTGTTTAGGGAGGGTTAGGAGTGATGACATGGCATTTCATTTCTGATATGGAGAGATTTAACTGTCCAAGTGTGTATTCCGTTATCTACGTATGCAAAAGTTAGTAACAGATCTTGCACGGTGAGTAATTGAATGCAACAGCATAAAGTTCAGTGACTAATGAGATACAAATATAAGTACAGTGAGTAAAATGTGATCTTACATAAAGTTTAGTACGTGTTCAAATAATTAACTCGTGAAATATCAATATCACGACCCTTAAAGAAATATTGGCTTTATTCTTGCTAAATGCTTTGGTGGAATCCTTTGACCCTCCATAAACATCTTTCTTCTTGGTAGCATCTTTCTTAAGTTTCTTCTGCTCCTCACCAATCGCTTCTCCTTCCTTTAGCCACTCTTTCTCAATACTCCTCATCGCCTTTAACCAATTTGGGGAATTTCAAAAATTGGAACTGCAATTGTGAGCATCGTGTTTGAGAAATAAGGGTTCAATTTTCAGGTGTGGCATGTAATGACATGGCATTTCATTTCATGTAGGCAGTGATTAGTAGATGTTTCCCAATTCAACCATGCTATAAGTACAATTTTTTTGACAACAAGTTTGCCAATGTGTCACATGTTGAAGGTTGATTGGCCAGTTTTTAAACACCACACATTTNTATGCCACATGTTGAAGGTTGAGTGGCCAGTTTTTAAACACCACACACTTTCCCGCCAATTCGAATTTGAATTAACATGAATTGTCAAATTCCTTATCAATCATGAATTGTACACAAAGCATTATTCTTCCCAATTAGTAATGGAGTGCAACTTTATAAAATTTAGTGACTAATGTGGTTGCAAGTTGAAGTACAGTGTGTAAAGCGTGACATTATCAAAAGTTCGATGCATGTTCAAACAATGAACTCTAGTATATGATATGAAGTATGCATTAATCGTGAAGCAAATTATTTTTGATTAAGTCCTTGTTTGGTACTCATTATTTTTAAAATACATTTTTTCTCTCTTATTTTGAATCACGCATTCTTTAATAAAATAATAATACACGCAAATTCAAAATATTTTTTTATTTTTTAGTCACACATTCTTCTACATATTATTTTAAATGTGTGTGTGTGTGTATATATATATATATATATGAAGCGCAAACGGACGCTAATATCAATAAAAAAAAAAGTTTCATTCAGATTTTTATTGTAAAATTTTTAGGAGAAAGAAAAATTAACCCTAGCTTGGCAGTTGGCACGATATGTGGATTTTTCTTCATGGAACCCGTGTTGTAGTAAAATGGGTAACTTTTTGGAAATGACTAGATAGTGAATAAATTTTTGAAGTTAACTTATAAGTTTTACTATCGACTAATGTTACGTGGCATTAGTGGTGTATATAACGTCACGGAAATTGGTTCTATATACAAAGTGCTACATAATATTATTTTTTAGAATCATATGAAAACGTACGATAAAAGAGGTCAAGAGAACATGAAGAAAATATTTACATGCACATAGATTTTGCCAGCTCGGTATGTCGAATCGAGGATTGTGTTGGTTAAGTGTTTTCGATAGCACGTTTATTTGAAAGTCGAGTTGACTCTAAACTAAGTCTGCTCCAAAATAAAATACAGTGTTTTACTTGAAGTGTTATCTTTTAAAAGAAAATTTTTTCAACAAAAAACTTATTAAAGAATCCTAAACTTAACGATTATTGATTATTGTTTTTTATCGTTGAATTCTTACCATTTAGATAAATTTAATTGACGATATATATTTTTACTATAGTATCAATCAAGTTAATGTACCTCAATTTTGTTCAATCCAATAATTGTACTTTAATTATTTATTTATTTTTTAATTTGATAAATATACTTTGAATTGATTTTAATACACTAAATAATAATTTAAATATAAGTAATTTATATTTGTAGATAATAAGGTAATAAATATTTATACTAACTTATAATTTAAAACAAACGAGAAGAAAATCAAATTTATCAATGATAGTATTACCAGCTTGTATGGGAGGGATTAAAATCAGATTAAAATTGAAAATATAGCCGTTATTGTTGATTTTTATTAGACAGGTGAGACCCAATAACGGTCATATTTTCAATTTTAATTGGATTTTAAGCCCTCGCGAACGGGACCTAGATTTTCCAATTCCCACGAACGTGTGGTAGGTGTAGCTGAGCCGGGTGGGCGGGGAGGGAGGGGGGGGCGTATCTAAAAGTCAAATGTTCTGACGCCACTTTTAACGGCGTCAAAAAGCAAAAGATGTTAACTGTTAAGCAAAATAACAAACGCCAGCAGACAAAAACAAGGACGCCGTTAGGTCAATTCTTCTTCTGCAAAATCGATTCGCGAATATCAATGTATCGTAAAACACCAAAAATTTTATTCCCTGCAGCTCCCAGATTTGGTCAATTCGCTTTTGACTTTTCTATTTTTAATTTTTATTTAGTTTTCCAATTATTTTACAGTTTGATAAAAACTGCTGACGGGCGTGATTTGTTTTTTAGGTTACGGGTTTCAACCTTGCTACTTGTACAAAAAAAGTTTGACAAAAAATTTGACAAACCCTCACAATGTGGGGGGCCCACTTTTTATTTTCAATTTTTTATTCACGTGGGGCCGACANGGGGGCCCACTTTTTATTTTCAATTTTTTATTCACGTGGGGCCGACAATCATGTGAGGGTTTGTCAACTTTTTTGTCAACCTTTTTTTGTACAATTAGCTTTTTTCTACGGGTTTACACACTGGAGCACTGTATCCAACTTCAGAGAATAATTTATAATACATTAAAATACTTTGACCCTGTTTGCTGGATTAAAATTTAATTTTTAGTAATTTTTGATAAAAATTGATATGATTGAAAAATTATGAGTTCTATAAAATATTTAATTAATTAAAATTTTAATTTTAATTATGATAAAAATTTAATTATGATAAGTAATTTTCAATTAACTAGATAACACTATTTTAGTCAATGTTCTAAAATGCGTAATGTATTGCGATGCGTCGAG